CATATAACAAATCATAATTTCATGTTGAAGATCTGATCAGCTATAATTGTCACTCACACATTCATCAGACAATCAGCATTAGACATTCAGTGAATTGGGCATTTTATTCCCATTTTCGCTAACTGAAGTTTCCATAAGGGTATTTGGTGAATACAAACATAATATACTCTGCAAACCCAAATCTCAGAGAATGGAATACCCAAATAGCTGAGAATGAAATAGCCATGGGGTCACTGACATTTGTGGTAAAAAGAAAACAGGCCAAAATATATTAAACAGTACATCAAAAAAGAAGAAAAATAGCATCACAGCAAAGGAGCTTGATTTATTTGCTGTGTTTTCATGATGAATAAACACACAGGGTGTGCTGGATAAATTGTTATCTAAATTAGGCAAAATTGAAAATAACACTGACATCTCATTTTAAGAGATATATTTGCCAAAATTACACAAAAATATCTTGAAATACTAAAAAGTAAATTTATTCAATAAAATTGCCATTGGCTTCAACCATGGCCTCCAGATGACTTCAGCATCTCCTGTAACTCTTCTGGATGGCCTCCGTGTTTAAGATGGTGAATGTTCCCATAATCCTTGCCTTCAGTTCATCTTTGGTATTACAAGGAGTTTTAATGGTCTCTCACTCAACTGCACCCCATACATAATAATCAAGGAGGTTGCAGTCTGGGGTGTTAGGTAGCCAGATGTAAGAGGTGATGTGGTCGCAGAAATTGTCTGGCAGCCATAACTGGGTTCTCCTGCTTGTGTGACATGGTACAGAGTCCTGTTGCCAGACATAGAGTCTTCCAGCAGCCACCCTCATGACCCAGGGCAACACTACCTCCTCAAAGCACTTGATGTAGGCCTCCATGTTGAGTCTGTGGTCCTGTGGGAAGATGAATGGAGGCATAATATCGTGATGACTAACGGTAATCACTATTATTTTAAGTTCTTGAACAAAATGTTTTTCAATGGTACAGGTCAAAACCAAAAAGGTGTTTTCTTCAAATTCTATAAACTCTTTCTATAAAGATTTTTTTCCAAATCCTCTGCACAGTCCTCAGTTGACACCCAAACACACTGAAATATTCATATTGAAGCTTCTAGCATGAATGCCAAGCAGTACAGCATGCAGCTTTCAAATTTTTGCCAGAGTGAATTGCATTATGGTGCTCTTTTGCTCACAGATGGTGCCCAACTGACCCTACTATACTATGCAGTTGACAAAATCAGAAACAACAACGCATGTGCATAAAATTAAAAATATAAAATGCTGTCAATTTACCCATTGCACCCTGTATATATTAGGATTATTAATTTTTTTCTAATTCTATGTTCCTGTGCCATAAATTGATAAACTTCTGTTCAAAAGTAATGAAGAAGGCATTAATTTGTTTTAGTTCTTGAAAAACATCACCCATCCAAACCAAAAATTTGATTTTAACATAAGGGTAAATGCACAATAAGGGTAAAAAAAAATATATATATTTCAGCTTTATTTTTCACTCATGTAATTGGATATTAGTTATTTATTTTTTAACACATTTAAAAGTTTATAGCTATAGCCTAACATACAAACTTATAAATAAACAAAAACAAGTTCTAGCAAGTTTCATAAAGTTCTAGAAGGTTCCACAAAGTCATAGTACTACTATACTTATATACAATTTTAGAAATTTCATGTTGGGTAACATTTTCTTTAAAATAAACTCAATAAAACTCATCTTTATTATTTTTTAACAAAAGTTCATTGTATTATGATACAGGAAATCAATTATTTTACATAAGTCAAAGTCAAAACCCTAACGTGTGTGTGTGATTTTGAGGATTGCTCTTGTGGATATTTTAGGGCAACAAATTTAAGAATAGCATTATTATGGTCAACTGTCTGCCTGAGAAAGACACCAGAAATATGTGCCAGTAATACTGCAGGATCACGAGTCTATTGATATGTGCAAGTCAGATACAATGAACTGATCTTCCTGGATCTTGTGGCCACCTATAGAAAGTCTGGGTTCTAGACACCAATTATATGATAAATTGTCAATGACCAGACAAGATCTCGACTTTGATTCCTACCATTGAAGTTAAATTAGTAAATTAAAGGAACCAGCCTACATGCTATGACTGAACAATTTTAGAACTAGCCAAACATAACAATACTTTGAATATAGAAAAGAGACTCAAGAAGTTGAAGACTCCTAAACTTCACCATTTAAATGATTTCCAACAACTGAATTGAAACAAATGTTCTAGAGGATGAAAATAAGTTGAATAAAGATATCCTCCAGGTTAAAATTGATATAAGTAAAGATGTCCTATTGGATAAGAGTGGGATGGATGAAATTTCTAACAGGTTGAAAACTGTGAGGATAAATATATTCTACAGGATGAGAGTGGGTTATATAAAATATCCTACAGTGGCTGAAGATGTCTTACAGGTTGACAGTGGGGTGGATAAAGATATCCTACAGTTTTATATTTGGGTGACAGAAAAAAGGATTCTTAAAGAAAGCCTGCATAATCAGGGTCAATGCAAGCCAGTTGCTAAGAACATTCACCTGTGATTCTGAATCTTCTATGAAAAGGTTTATTTATGAAATATCAGGTGTGATGACAACAAATCAGTAGATATCTGTGACATTAAGAATTGGTCATTTCTTGGAGTCTCCTAACATGGCTATAACCAGTGTCAACACTGCTACACTTGTAATTCTTAATTTTCATTGACTAATTAAAATGTCCTTACAGGTGATGAATTATTTACAGTCCTACAATTCTTTTTCCACAGATGCAATGTCCCAAGTCTATCACAACTCTATTGTGATTTTCATGGAAAATGTTCTGACAAAGTGACAATCCTTAATTCCACAAGTTCAGACTTTCACAACAAAGAACTGCTATCTCATGTACACAGGAACTTACCATCCTCATGTCCTTTGTATTCCATTAGTAAGAAGGCAGTTCCATTAAGACAACTTCTTCCCAAGAGCTGTTGCTTTGTGGTACAGACTCACGAAAGGATTTTTCCCCGATCACTATAATCTTTATCCCTTTAACCATTATATATCCCCATAATCTACAATACTTACATCCATAAAATAGTCCTATTCAGTAACTTTACATTGAGTGGCTCTTGAAATGAAGACAAAAGTCATTTTAATATAAAAATTAAACAAGCCATGTTTGTTATTTATAGTCTAAACATAAATGTTAACCATTCTTGTTGGAGCAAAGTAGAGAGAAAAGAATGGCTCTCTTCAGTGCAAAGTATTTTTCTTGTCTTTATGAGAGAATTCTCAGCCATGAAAACAATATTCTGAGATTAAATGTTCATCAAAATTTGATTATTTTATCACTTTGATGCTCAAAACTCTTGTATTTAGGAATCTATTACAATCTCTTATAAGCTGTTATAAATGGTCCTCAGCAAAAGATTAAAAATGGAGTATTATGCAACAGTTGTAATGAAGAACTTGAGGTAAAAAAACATTTGTTAATTGAACAGTGTAGGTGTGCATTTATTAGACATTTTTCTCTGTCCAAAAATTGCCCTGAGGAGAATTTGCCACCTGCTGTACAAGATCAGATAACTCTGTTGACACAATCTCACATCATTATGATCAACACATGAAAGTGAAAATATTGATTTTGCTAGACTGAAGAAGAAGAAGAAGAAGAAAAAGAAGAAGAAGAGAGAAAAAAATCTAACAAGAGTTAAAAGTAAATTTAAAGAAGGAAAAATTATGGAAATTAGAAAAGAAAGAAAGAAAGAAAAGAGGAATTAAAGAAAATGGCATAAAGAGTAAAAGAGAAAACAAGAAAGAACATGAACTGAAAAAAGAAATCAAGAAAATTTGAGAGCAAAAAAAGGGGGAGGAAACAAAAGTGGGTTAAATAAAAAAGGGAGGTAAAGATCAAAAAAGGGGGTAAATAAAAAAGAGGGTAAATAAAAAAGGGAGATAAAGACAAAAAAGGGGGTAAATAAAAAGGGGAGGTAAATACAAAGAATGAAAAAAGATGAGAAGAAGAAAGATAATAAATCAAAATTTGAGAGAGAAAAGGAGAAAGAGAAAGAAACAAAAAGAAGATCAAATAAAAGTAAATGAAAATAGTCTAGTGAATTAATGCATTGGTCCATGAATTTGGTGGCATAATAATCAAGAGTTTAATCTCTGGGCTGGGTAGTAGAGACTTAGACTCTGTGGAAACAGGACTAGCATTTACTGAGTAGTACCAAATAAGAAATAAATGAGATATCCTTAGACATGAGAAGGTTACCGGGATTGCCATTAGGTTTAAGGTTATAGATTCAGGATTGTCCCACAGGACAATATCCAAGTGGATTAAAGCACTGGTTTATGAATTTGGTGGCATAGTAATTGTGAGTTCAATCCTTGGGCTCTGTGGAAACAAGATTAAAAATAACTGAGCAGTACTAAAAAATGAAAATAGTAATTTTGCTAAAATTAAGAGAGCAAGAAAACAAATAGATAAAAAGTAACAAAAATGAAAAAATAAATTCAAAGAAGAAAAATTATAGAAATTAAGAAAGAAAGAAAAAAAATGAGACAAAATGGATGAAAAAGAAAAACAAGAAAGAATGAAAGAACATAAACTGAAAAAAGAAGGAAAAGAATGAGAAAAAATACAAGTTGAAGGAAACAAAGAAATCAACAAAGATTGAAAAGAAACAACAAAGAATTTATAAATATCAACTGAGTAGAGAAAAAATGAAAAGACATGGACTGAAGTGAAAGAATCAAGATAGAAAGAAGACACACTGGAAACAAAGAATGAATGAATCACTGAATGAATGAACAGAGATTGAAAAGAAAGAAAGAAAATAAGAAAGGTCATGAATACAGATAGAAAGAGCAGGCAGTGGAAAGAAAGAAAGAAAAACAGACAGAAATAATAAATGAAAATGGATTAAAAAGAAAACTATGAATTGTGAAAAGAAACTCCATAGATTGAAGTGAAGGAAAGTGGAAAGAGAATTAAATTACATGTATTAGAAAGAAAGAAAGAAAGGCAAGGCAAGAAAAGAAAAGAAGAGACAGAGTAATAAAAGTAAATGCAAACAAAATGAAAAATTGAGAGAGAAAATGAAAAAGACAAATGTTAATGCAAAGAAAAAAAGAAAAAAAAAGAAGGAAAATGAAAAACTGAGAGAAGAAAAGAGAAAGTGAAATCAAAGTAAATACAATGAATGAAAAGAAAAAGAGACAAAGAAAGGAAGGATATAGAAAGAAATGAAAAAGGAATGAAAAGCCAAAAACTGGTTGACTTTTCATCTCACTAATATCTGATTCAATTGATTAATTAATTTAATGCATTGCTTGGCAGTTCTTTCAAAACAGTGGGGGGGGGATGTTGGTATGACTTATATGGTAAAAGATTGTACAATTATTGAGTTGTTGTTATCTCTCTCTGTTTATCTTTGTAAACAACTACCTTTGAACCTACGGCAAACAATCATGTACTTGTAAAATCCTATATCATAGATTACATAATGCAAATAAGATTTGATAGTGCCATGAGCTTTTTGTGCTTATTTTAAATGAACACAACCCGGTTAATTAAACAACTAATAAACCCGTCTGTCCCTGTGGTGATGTTATGTGCAAAAGCAGTAGAACAACTCTTACAGATTTAGATTAGGTACCAATATTCACAGAACTTAAAATGATTACTTGGTTACTTATTCTAATGCACCATTTTACTTACACTTATTGCTATGTGACACAAACAATAGTTAGTGCATTATTTAAACAAATTAGCTGTAAATAATCAACAACACTTTTTGATAGGCATCTGTCACTTATATTATTGCCAACTACAACATTGAACACAGTAAAAATATGTGTCATCAGATGATTTCTAATAAAATGTATAATTTATACCCAGGTATTAAGTGTAATGAATACACACTTACCTGAACAGAGATATTCTATAAGTTTTTTTTTTTTATGATCTTTTCCATTGTTTCAATTAAACCATGTTTCCTTTCACTTGTTGAGGTCTGCAAGAGCACACACTCTTTTAAATGGAAAATGATTTTCAGATCTAGTTCTCTGCTGGTATTTGCTATAGGAATGAAAATTACAGGATTTTCTTTCACCTTCCTGTAGAGTTAGTGGCCAGGGTTAAATGTAAATGGCACAAGTGCCCAACAAACAGAGTTTGCCATAAGCAATAACAAGAAAAGGAAAAGAACAGGGAAAAAAAAATAATACAAAGCAAGCAAACAATATATGCAAGGCAAATTAACAGTAATAAAGCAAAGCAACAGTAATAAGGCAAAAAATTCATGAACTAAGAATTTGGGTTGACACACAAAAGCAAATATGGATAAGCGAAAGTAGCCTTCTAACTTCAAGATAAGACAGACTGGGACCGGGTAAGATAAAACTGAGAACTGGCCTATTTTATTAGCTAGGAAAAAAATCCCAGCATGCATTTGTGTGTGTCTACCTATAAATTGGGGAGGAGAATGTACTTTGCAGTCATTCCTACAAGGATTGGAACCAACATGTTTATTCTGTATTTTTCTCTACATGGCTTGGAAAAATAAACCATTAATTTAAATAATTAATCTAGTTTTTTGAAGGTATATTTGATGACATCAGAATGTTCAGCTATTAAATAAGAAAGTTTCAGCTTAAATGAAGAACCAAAAGGACCAGAATCTAAGTGTGCTAATTACATCATTTTTGCCAGGTTTAGTATGTATATAGACATATTTTAAAATGTTGCTGTTGTAGTGAAAGATGTAGGTTACTTCATTTGTGTCATAATAGCTTCAAGGCATTTTAGTTTTTCCCTACAGTGAATGTGAAATAATGTTTTGGTATTATCTACTAATATTTGTTTTATGTTAATAGTTGTATTTTGGTTGCTTGTGATGAGAAATATGAGTACAGATTAACAAAGTTTCAATAAGTGACAAGTTAACCAATGAGAGAGTGTGGTATTTGTGAAATCAATGTCAGTATCTAATATTTTTTATTATTCATCATGTAAATTCAAAAGACAAAAAGAATTTTTGTTTTTTTTGTAGTGAAAGAGATAATCAGGTACCCCAGAAAAAAGTTCGTGTTTTGTATGCGATCTGCCGAAGAAACATTACCAAAAAGTAGTCAGCAAAAATCTTATAGCGAAGAAAACGGTGACTTACCTCATCAAACCAAGCGACAGCGCATCGCGTATATTCTATGACGGAAAAAGTGACGAAAATAAACAAGTCCGTCGCAGGAGTCGCTATAACAGTATTTTGATATGCAAATTACGGAGCATCCTATCCCAGCTGTCGATGAATGAAAAAAATAGGTTCTGCCGATAAAAGCAGTTGGTGTTCTCGATTCGGGGACAGAAAATTCGGGCATTTTTGGCTTCGGCATTTGTTAGAGAGTGAGTTATTTTTCTGACTGGTTACACACATTGTGATTCGAGATAATACCAGCGAATCGAGTTTTCAGCATTTCTTTCTGCCCCCGATATTCGAGTCTGTACTTGCAGTGATTTTTCTTTGTGTTGTGGAAGTAATCTGCGACAAATTCTTCCTTTGCTTTCAGAACGCTTACCCTTACAGTTAATAGTTGTATTTTGGTTGCTTGTGATGAGAAATATGAGTACAGATTAACAAAGTTTCAATAAGTGACAAGTTAACCAATGAGAGAGTGTGGTATTTGTGAAATCAATGTCAGTATCTAATATTTTTTATTATTCATCATGTAAATTCAAAAGATGACAAGAATTTTTGTTTTTTTTGCATGGTGAGGATTTTGGAGTACTCAAATTACTGGTAATGTTTAAGTTACATATTTTAAACTTTTTACGGTAAATGACGACTGATGAAGAATTCAGATCACCTGATAGACTGTCATAATAGTGAAACTACATGTTATCACCAGTGTTAATACCTTCCATGAAACAATCATTTTCAGTCATGAAAGTTCTCAGAGGTTCTGGTTAAATACAAACTTTGTGGTATCCCAATTTAAACAACATTGATTCCAATGCATCGAAGGCTTATGGCCATATCACTTTGAAACACTGATTCTCATATGATCACTGATGTTAAGCAATGTTGAGCAGGATCAGTAAATAGATGGGTGACCACTAGGGAATATCAGGTACTGTGGGTGGTGTAATGGATATTGACTTGGAATTGGAAATCAGAAAACCAAGTTCCAATTCCAGTCAGGTTCACTTACATGCAAACATCCTTTGAAAAGATATGAATCCACTGTATTTCCCCCAGCTATGGGTTAATTAGTTAAACTTGTGTCAGTAAATTGTCCCCGCCAAAAAAAATTATTACAACCTAAAAATATTTTGTGGCTTTAGATAAGGTTGACAAGCCGTAAAAAAATAAATCAATCAATCAACACATTGAAGCTGACATTCACAATTCCACCAATTCATTTTTATTCACTTTATATTCCACTGGTGAGAAGGAATTTCCATTCAGCTTCTTCCCCCAGCACTGTTGCAGTTTGGAATGGACTCCCAAGAAGATGCTTCTCTGATCACTACAATCTCAAATTCAAATCGAGGATGAACTATTATCTTTCCTACAGATCCTCAAAAACTGCACCACTTGCTTCCTATGCTTTACCAAAAAACATCATTTCATAACCTTGTAACTTGAGTGGCTCTTGAGCCTTGTGTTAAGTCAACAATATGTAAAAAAGAAAATAGTCTCAGAATTTCTGGGAATCCAGTGGTGTAAAAATGGATTGCTTTTTAATTTCTGAATGAAAATGTAATTTTCATTGTTGCCAAATTCTGATTTAGACAAAACCCCAAGTAACTTTGATCTTCTGAACAAAACAGTTTGTCTGTTCTTCAGACATCTTTATTAGATTACTCTCACAACCTTAAGACCTTTGTGTTCATTTATTAGATTATTCTCACAATAAAAACTCTTCATCAAATCTTTATTGGAAATGATTTCCTGAAGAGGTTCAGAAACGTCTTTTACAAAAGAATGAGATTTCTTCTTTTTGTCGTTCGATAAAGAAAAACCTCTTACAAGAATTAAATCCACAGACCTGAAGAGAAGTACAAAAGGCAATCTTTAAACAGACCATTTATAAGAGCATTAAATATTTTTGGCGGGTGTAGGTCATATTGTAGATACTGGCGTCAGAAGTAAAATCATTAAGCAGAATTCAAATTCTGTGCCATTCCCCCTAAAATAAAAAGAATTTATATTTACTAAAATTCACACTAAATTCTCCCAGAGCAAAGCCCTTCCACTGCACTTCAGTAGGGTTGACCTTTGCGATCACTCCAAATGTAGGCAACTAGAGTGAGCTTTTTCTGAGTGTAGGGTCTCCATTAGTGCTCCTACCAATAAACAAGCCAAAAACAGATTTTTTTTTTTTTAAATTGGAAAAAATACCTTGTAAATACCTCAAATTTCATCCAGACTTACAAAATGTGAATAACAGCCTTATTGTTGGTAATTTTACATTCTGAAGGTTGGAGTTGCAAGCTAAACAAATGTGGATTTAAAATTTATAATTGCAAAAGAATTTAAAAATTCAATAAAAAACAGAGTTTGATTTAAAATTTATAAATTTTGGGGATGAATCAATATTTGCAATAAGTAACTTTTGATCCAAAATTAATTTTAGAAACAGATCTTTATGTAATACAGATTGTTTAACTCAGTGGGTATACTTCCAATTTTCTAAATTAGAGAGCATGAATTTGATAAAAATTTACTGCTTGTTATTGTGTCTATTTTCTCATTTGCAAACATTTTTACGAAGTCTATCAAATGAAGTGTAGGTTTCATGACTAGACAGCTTTAGATGTTCATCAACTGAAAGTTTGTATGGATTCTGTCGAAAGAGATTTCTAAAGTTTTCTTTTTTGAAATTAATCCAAAACTGAGATTAGGATTTGCAATAATTTGTAAAACTAAGTATACATGAACAAGGTTTTAAAAATGAGACAGATTCTTGGAGAAAATCAAGATTGAAACCTTATAACTGAGTAGAAAGAAATCTGATATGTAAGTCGAGAGGGGATGAAGTAATTTGCAACTGAAATACAAAATTTTAGGCAAGAAATAAATTATCCAACACATTTCAGATTTGGTCAAATGGAGAATCATGTAGGGTATCATGTATATTTTGAGTCAGTTTCCCTGCAGAAGGGGTTTTACAGATTTAGTCAATGACAAGCTTACAAAATAGAAAAACTTAAGAATTTATTTATAAAATGGTTTGCTTGTTACATCTATCTACAAAAATGCAGAAACAAACATATATATATATAATTATTTTCAGATATAGGGCATTTGTAAAGGAACAAAATGAATAAAAAGACAAGACAAAAAACTATTGTTAGCTGACAAGTTTTGACCTCAGTGATTTTATCAAGGCAAATGTAGGATATATTTTGTTGCATGTATTTAAATACAAGAGCAAGAATCTCATTGGTTTATCAAGGCTTTTAAGTTTGAGAACATTCATGAATATACATCAGGTGGTTGAAAATTCAGTGAAAATATGTGGAGGACATGAGCTCATAAATATACATTTTTTTCTCACCGAGTTTTATGCACAATGCAATCTTCAGGTGCTAAATTAAGACTGATGATTTCATAATTTAAATTTTGTTAAGTATATTAATTTATCACAATGATAAGATAGTCCATGTTTTTTATGGGGATTGTTGTTTTTTAATTTGGTATTTAAAATAAACATAGCTAAAAATATATGTATATCAAGTACCTTTTTATGAACACCAGCACCCAATGTGTGACACACACACACACACACATATATATATAATAAATTTACCAATTTAAAAATATGGTTCCATGGCTACACAGGAATTACGTTTCAAAAACAGAACCTAAAAACTTCAAGTTCAATTAAAATCCCTAGTTCTGTTTCATTTTCAAGTGAATTTTGGAATTCGCATGAAAATAAAACAGAACTAGGGACTTTAATTCTATAATTGAATTTGAAGTTTTTTGTTTCTGTTTTTGAAACATGGTAATTCCTGTGTAGCAATGGAACCATATTTTCAAATTGGTAAATTTATAATATTTCTGTTCTGTAGATTTGCATTGAGCACTGTTTTGTATAAATAAAAATAATTAATAAGAACACTTGATTATATATCTTTCTGTTCTTTCTCTTCATTATATATATATATATATATATATATATATAAATTAATTGATTTAAAATATGTTTTTTTTTTTCACTACACAGTTCTAACCATGTTTCTGTGTAGCAAAAAAAAACATATTTTAAATCGATTAATCATAATATTAATGCTCTGTAAATTTACATTGAGCACTATTTTGTAAAAAATAAAAAAAATCTATAAGAACACAAACGGATTATATATCTTTACTGTTCTTTCTTTATATATATATATATATATATTTTTTAAAGAAAAAACAGACCACTTTAAGGCTCCATTGTAATAATTTATTTCACCAGAGCCCTTTTAAAAGATGCCAGATCATAACTTAATTATATATATATATATATATATATATATATATATAGTGTGTGTGTGCATATATATATATATATATATATATATATATAGATATATATATGGGCAGCAATCCCTTTTTTATACAAGTTTCATTAAAGACAACTGACAGGGTAATGTGATTATCCAGGGATTAGCCTAGTGACAAAAATCTCCCATGCTAGCAACTTACTATAAACCACATGATTTATGGTACATATTTCATACCTGGTATGTAAGATGGCCCTCAATTTTTGTGGGGATTTTTTTTAAAGGTTAAAAGGTCGCCTTGTATGCCAACATGTATGGTGTTATGTATGAGATAGAGAGAGAAATAGGCAAGTGTCTATGTAGTGTACTCTTCTGATGATGTAGCATGTTTATATGAGAAAGGAACTCTCGAATTGTGATTTTCTCTGTAGACAAACTGTTGATTTCTTCAATCCAAGTGGGAATGACTGTAGAACAATTGCCATTTATAGGCAAAAGCAACAAATGCATTCTGGGATTTTCTTTCTCAAGCAATGAAATAGGTCAGGCTTGCACTTTGACATGAATTGGTCCAGTCTGCCTTATCCAGAAGACAGACTACTGCATTCACTTGCCTGACTTTGCTTTTGTGTATCAACACTAATTCTTAATTTGTGAACTTTTTGCCTTCTTACTTGTTAATTTGCCTTGAATATATTGTTTGCTTGATTTCAGTTTTACTCTGTTTCTTTTGCCTTTTATTACAAACTTTATTAATTCTGTTTGTTGGATAGTTCTGTTCTTTATTTTGCATTTGATCATAGCTTCTTCCTCCACACATCTCGACTTCAGTTACTTCCCCAACAACTTTAATGTAGATTCCCTGTGCATTTTCTTATTTAATTTATTTTGCATTTGACCATGGCTACTCAACATAAACTATATTGTAATATATTTTTAAATATATGATTCAAATTATTTTATTTATCACATTAGGTCAAAGCAGAGGATTACTTGTCATAATTACATAATTTTATTTTGAGCATAAAATATTCTGGTAGGATTAAACCACTAAGAAAGTGCAGAGCAACATAAATTTTTTAATATGTTATAAGAACAATGCATGTTTTGATGGTACGAGTAAAAACTAGTAGATAAATGAAAGTCCATATCTAATCAATGGTGAATGGAATGTTATTTGTTTCATTTAATATTCAGGAAGTTTTCAACACAGACAAGAAAGTGCAGAGGTTTTAATATTTTATAAGTAAAATGAAATTGTAAAATTACTAAAAAATTGCTATCATTTTAAAAGTACAAGTAAAATAGTTCTTATTGTTAATTATAGTGTATGTTGCTTTTATCTCTGTTGAAGAGAATACATTTCATTTTGTAAATACTAAAAAATTAAAGACATTGTGTATAACTTCATATCTCAGATGTCTTTCTGATATTTTTGCTACAGAGAATATTGAGAATTTATTATTATTATTTTGAACTTGTATGAATGTCGACATTAGCAAGCAGCTCAGCATGTATATGAAATGAATATTAAGTTATTTAAAAGAATATAAAATAATATATATATATATATATATATATATATATATATAAAATGTGTGTGTGTGTTTGTGTATATACACACAAAACAATGTATTTGTTAATATGTTATAAAGAAAGACATTGAAAATTTTTCTATTTTTCTTGTGGATGCCTCTCAGATAAATATTATTTTCAAACAAATAAATGAATTAAGAAAATGAATAAATAGAAATAATAATTACATAATTTTAAGATTGAAAAAAAAATTAAAAGAAAATTGGCTTCTATTTTATTTCCACAATTTTTCTTTTGCAAATTTTGTGTTCAGATGTAAGTAAACCAATTCTGAAGTTTATCTATCTATCTCTGTTTTGTTCCATTCATAAATATCTATCGCTCAGTCTGTCCATTAAGTAAATCAGTTCTGAAGTCTATCTTTTCATATCTATGTTCACATCTATCTCAGTCAGTTTCTGTCTACCACTCTCTCTCTCTCTCTCTATATATATATATATATATACTGCTTAAAATAACATACAGAATGTCTATAATTTTCAATAAAACATACTTTATTGAATAAAATTTTCAATAAAACATGTAGTCATATTTTCCTTCATAATAAACTCATCCAAATGCAAAAAAAATGGTTAAAAATAAAAAATGAAGGCATCTCTCAATAACATCAGCTATGAACATGATCACAATATGGTGTGTTCAAAAATTTAAAAAACATTCCCATTCTACATATATATATATATATATATATATATATATATATATATATATATATATATACACATTTCAATTAAGCAAAAGGATATCCTTGATAATGGTTAATAGATTAGCCAAAAATGCTCGAATCAACAGATCATTTGGGCAATTTTTACACACTATGTCCAGATGAAAAATTTAATAGAAAGCTTAATCACATTGCTTTGTCAGTCATCTTCAATGAAACTTGTGTGTGTGTGTGTGTGTGTGTGTATATATATATATATATGTGTGTGTGTGTGTGTGTAGCAATTCAATGGATATAGGCATTTAAACAAACATCAAGCCAACCTGATGAATTTCATTTCATGTATTAGTATAAGAAAGAAAGGTGTTTTAAATGACTTATCCCTATATCCATTCTAGCTATCCCAACATATACCTGCAAGTATATTTCTAGCCAGTGTAGACATAGGAATCAACATTGCATAGTGACTATAAGTTTCATGCCCCAATGTGATTTTCAAACCAGCATGAATAAAAAACAGTAAAGAATAGGTTTACTGGTGAAACTGAAACTTCATGATTATTTCCAATCTGTTCTTGTTTGACAGCCTGAATAAAATTGTAATTAAATAAAAGGAAGTAAAGACAGTATTAAAATAAAAGAAAATTACATTATCAAAAATGAATAATAGCTAGCAATTTTTCATTCTGGTTGAGATATTTTCAGATGAATACCTTTTCATAATTTTTTTAAATATCTAAGTATTGTGACTGAATTTCAACTCATTCACAAATTGAGTTTAAAGTTCTGCATGAAAAACAGATAAGGATAAATGAAGACAAGAATTCATTAGACCACTTCTGGCAAAAATGATCAAATCACCACACTTAGAGGAGGTTCATTCAGATCTTCATAATAAAGAAGTAAATCATAAATAGAATATTAATCAATTTATAATAGTAGAACATTCTGACTTCATGAAATATATGCCAAAACAGATGAAAATGGAATCACCTTATAATTTGCATTTCTCAATTAAATATCAGCTGAAGTCTAAGTATGCAAATTAGTAAGCTGTAAATTGTATGGAGACATGGCTCCAACAAGAAAGCTGTCAATTGAAAGAAGACATAGTCTCCAACAAGAAAGCTGCCGACTGAAAGAAGAAATAGTCTCCAACAAGAAAGCTGCCGATTGAAAGGTGACATAGTCTCCAACAAGAAAGCTGTCGACTGAAAGAAGACATAGTCTCCAACAAGAAAGCTGCCGACTGAAAGAAGAAATAGTCTCCAACAAGAAAGCTGCCGACTGAAAGAAGAAATAGTCTCCAACAAGAAAGCTGCCGACTGAAAGAAGAAATAGTCTCCAAAAAGAAAGCTGCCGACTGAAAGAAGAAATAGTCTCCAACAAGAAAGCTGTCGACTGAAAGAAGACATAGTCTCCAACAAGAAAGCTGTCGACTGAAAGAAGACATAGCTCCAACAAGAAAGCTGCCGATTGAAAGGTGACATAGTCTCCAACAAGAAAGCTGCCGACTGAAAGAAGAAATAGTCTCCAACAAGAAAGCTGTCGACTGAAAGAAGACATAGTCTCCAACAAGAAAGCTGTCGACTGAAAGAAGAAATAGTCTCCAACAAGAAAGCTGTCGACTGAAAGAAGACATAGTCTCCAACAAGAAAGCTGTCGACTGAAAGAAGAAATAGTCTCCAACAAGAAAGCTGTCGACTGAAAGAAGACATAGTCTCCAACAAGAAAGCTGCCGACTGAAAGAAGAAATAGTCTCCAACAAGAAAGCTGCCGACTGAAAGAAGAAATAGTCTCCAACAAGAAAGCATAGTCGACTGAAGAAAAGCTGTCGACTGAAAGATACATAGCTCCAACAAGAAAGCTGCCGATTGAAAGAAGACATAGCTCCAACAAGAAAGCTGCCGATTGAAAGGTGACATAGTCTCCAACAAGAAAGCTGCCGACTGAAAGAAGAAATAGTCTCCAACAAGAAAGCTGTCGACTGAAAGAAGACATAGTCTCCAACAAGAAAGCTGTCGACTGAAAGAAGAAATAGTCTCCAACAAGAAAGCTGTCGACTGAAAGAAGACATAGTCTCCAACAAGAAAAGCAACGACTGAAAGAAGAAATAGTCTCCAACAAGAAAGCTGTCGACTGAAAGAAGACATAGTCTCCAACAAGAAAGAACTGTCGACTGAAAGAAGAAATAGTCTCCAACAAGAAAAGCTGCCGACTGAAAGAAGAAATAGTCTCCAACAAGAAAGCTGTCGACTGAAAGAAGAAATAGTCTCCAACAAGAAAGCTGTCGACTGAAAGAAGACATAGTCTCAAACAAGAAAGCTGTCGACTGAAAAGACATAAGAAGAAAGCTCCAACAAAGAAAGCTGAAGATTGAAAGGTGACATAGCTCCAACAAGAAAGCTGCCGATTGAAAGAAGAAATAGTCCAACAAGAAAAGCTGCCGTCTGAAAGAAGAAATAGTCTCCAACAAAGAAAGCTGTCGACTGAAAGAAGACATAGAAAGACAAAGAAGACATAGTCTCCAAAAGAAAAGCTGTCGACTGAAAGAAGAAATAGTCTCCAAAAGAAAGCTGTCGACTGAAAGAAGAAATAGTCTCCAACAAGAAAGCTGTCAACTGAAAGAAGACATAGTCTCCAACAAGAAAGCTGTCGACTGAAAGAAGAAATAGTCTCCAACAAAAAAGCTGTCGACTGAAAGAAGACATAGTCTCCAACAAGAAAGCTGCCGACTGAAAGAAGACAATAGTCTCCAACAAGAAAGCTGCCGACTGAAAAAGAAGACATAGTCTCCAACAAGAAAGCTGCCGACTGAAAGAAGAAATAGTCTCCAACAAGAAAGCTGCCGACTGAAAGAAGAAATAGTCTCCAACAAGAAAGCTGCCGACTGAAAGAAGAAATAAAAAAGAAAGAAGAAATAGTCTGTCGACTGAAAAGAAGAAATAGTCTCCAACAAGAAAGCTGTCGACTGAAAGAAGAAGACTCCAACAAGAAAGCTGTCGACTGAAAGAAGACATAGTCTCCAACAAGAAAGCTGCCGATTGAAAGGTGACATAGTCTCCAACAAGAAAGCTGCCGATTGAAAGGTGACATAGTCTCCAACAAGAAAGCTGCCGACTGAAAGAAGAAATAGTCTCCAACAAGAAAGCTGTCGACTGAAAGAAGACAGTCTCCAACAAGAAAGCTGTCGACTGAAAGAAGACATAGTCTCCAACAAGAAAGCTGTCGACTGAAAGAAGACAAAAGAAAAAGCTGTCGACTGAAAGAAGACATAGTCTCCAACAAGAAAGCTGCCGATTGAAAAGGTGACTGTCGACTGAAAGCTCCAACAAGAAAGCTGCCGATTGAAAGAAGAAATAGTCTCCAACAAGAAAGCTGTCGACTGAAAGAAGACATAGTCTCCAACAAGAAAGCTGCCGACTGAAAGAAGAAATAGTCTCCAACAAGAAAGCTGCCGAGTGAAAGGTGACATAGTCTCCAACAAGAAAGCTGTCGACTGAAAGAAGACATAGTCTCCAACAAGAAAGCTGCCGACTGAAAGAAGAAATAGTCTCCAACAAAAAAGCTGCCGACTGAAAGAAGACACAGTCTCCAACAAGAAAGCTGTCGACTGAAAGAAGACACAGTCTCCAACAAGAAAGCTGTCGACTGAAAGAAGACACAGTCTCCAACAAGAAAGCTGTCGACTGAAAGAAGACATAGTCTCCAACAAGAAAGCTGTCGACTGAAAGAAGACATAGTCTCCAACAAGAAAGCTGCCGATTGAAAGGTGACATAGCTCCAACAAGAAAGCTGCCGATTGAAAGGTGACATAGCTCCAACAAGAAAGCTGCCGATTGAAAGGTGACATAGCTCCAACAAGAAAGCTGCCGACTGAAAGAAGAAATAGTCTCCAACAAGAAAGCTGTCGACTGAAAGAAGACACAGTCTCCAACAAGAAAGCTGTCGACTGAAAGAAGACATAGTCTCCAACAAGAAAGCTGTCGACTGAAAGAAGAAATAGTCTCCAACAAGAAAGCTGTCGACTGAAGAAGACACTGAAAGTCTCTCCAACAAGAAAGCTGTCGACTGAAAGAAGACACAGTCTCCAACAAGAAAGCTGTCGACTGAAAGAAGACATAGTCTCCAACAAGAAAGCTGTCGACTGAAAGAAGAAGACATAGTCTCCAACAAGAAAGCTGCCGATTGAAAGGTGACATAGTCTCCAACAAGAAAGCTGTCGACTGAAAGAAGACATAGTCTCCAACAAAGAAAGCTGTCGACTGAAAGAAGAAATAGTCTCCAACAAGAAAGCTGCCGACTGAAAAGAAGAAATAGTCTCCAACAAGAAAGCTGTCGACTGAAAGAAGAAATAGTCTCCAACAAGAAAGCTGTCGACTGAAAGAAGACACAGTCTCCAACAAGAAAGCTGTCGACTGAAAGAAGACATAGTCTCCAACAAGAAAGCTGCCGACTGAAAGAAGACATAGTCTCCAACAAGAAAGCTGTCGACTGAAAGAAGAAATAGTCTCCAACAAGAAAGCTGTCGACTGAAAGAAGACATAGTCTCCAACAAGAAAGCTGCCGATTGAAAGGTGACATAGCTCCAACAAGAAAGCTGCCGATTGAAAGGTGACATAGTCTCCAACAAGAAAGCTGCCGACTGAAAGAAGAAATAGTCTCCAACAAGAAAGCTGTCGACTGAAAAGAAGACATAGTTCCAACAAGAAAGCTGTCGACTGAAAGAAGAAATAGTCTCCAACAAGAAAGCTGTTGACTGAAAGAAGACATAGTCTCCAACAAGAAAGCTGTCGACTGAAAGAAGAAATAGTCTCCAACAAGAAAGCTGTCGACTGAAAGAAGACATAGTCTCCAACAAGAAAGCTGCCGACTGAAAGAAGACATAGTCTCCAACAAGAAAGCTGCCGACTGAAAGAAGAAATAGTCTCCAACAAGAAAGCTGTCGACTGAAAGAAGAAATAGTCTCCAACAAGAAAGCTGTCGACTGAAAGAAGACATAGTCTCCAACAAGAAAGCTGTCGACTGAAAGAAGACATAGCTCCAACAAGAAAGCTGCCGATTGAAAGGTGACATAGCTCCAACAAGAAAGCTGCCGATTGAAAGGGGAAATAGTCTCCAACAAGAAAGCTGCCGTCTGAAAGAAGAAATAGTCTCCAACAAGAAAGCTGTCGACTGAAAGAAGACATAGTCTCCAACAAGAAAGCTGTCGACTGAAAGAAGACATAGTCTCCAACAAGAAAGCTGTCGACTGAAAGAAGAAATAGTCTCCAACAAGAAAGCTGTCGACTGAAAGAAGACATAGTCTCCAACAAGAAAGCTGTCGACTGAAAGAAGAAATAGTCTCCAACAAGAAAGCTGTCGACTGAAAGAAGACATAGTCTCCAACAAGAAAGCTGCCGACTGAAAGAAACAAAAAGTCTCCAACAAGAAAGCTGTCGACTGAAAGAAGACATAGTCTCCAACAAGAAAGCTGTCGACTGAAAGAAAGAAATAGTCTCCAACAAGAAAGCTGCCGAAAGCTGAAAGAAGAAATAGTCTCCAACAAGAAAGCTGCCGACTGAAAGAAGAAATAGTTCCAAAAGAAAGCTGCCGACTGAAAGAAGAAATAGTCTCCAAAAAGAAAGCTGCCGACTGAAAGAAGAAATAGTCTCCAACAAGAAAGCTGTCGACTGAAAGAAGACACAGTCTCCAACAAGAAAGCTGTCGACTGAAAGAAGACATAGTCTCCAACAAGAAAGCTGCCGATTGAAAGGTGACATAGTCTCCAACAAGAAAGCTGCCGATTGAAAGGTGACATAGTCTCCAACAAGAAAGCTGCTGACTGAAAGAAGAAATAGTCTCCAACAAGAAAGCCAACAAGTCGACTGAAAGAAGACAGTCTCCAACAAGAAAGCTGTCGACTGAAAGAAGACATAGTCTCCAACAAGAAAGCTGTCGACTGAAAGAAGACATAGTCCAACAAGAAAGCTCCAACAAGAAAATAGCTGCCGATTGAAAGGTGACATAGCTCCAACAAGAAAGCTGCCAATTGAAAGAAGAAATAGTCTCCAACAAGAAAGCTGTCGACTGAAAGAAGACATAGTCTCCAACAAGAAAGCTGCCGACTGAAAGAAGAAATAGTCTCCAACAAGAAAGCTGCCGACTGAAAGAAGACATAGTCTCCAACAAGAAAGCTGCCGACTGAAAGAAGAAATAGTCTCCAACAAGAAAAAGCTGTCGACTGAAAAGAAGTCTCCAACAAGAAAGCTGCCCAAAGGGAAAAGAAAGAAAGCTGCCGATTGAAAGAAGAAATGTCTCCAACAAGAAAGCTAGTGAAAGAAGACATAGTCTCCAACAAGAAAGCTGTCGACTGAAAAGAAGAAGAAAGCTAGTCTCCAACAAGAAAGCTGCCGACTGAAAGAAGAAATAGTCTCCAAGAAAGCTGTCGACTGAAAGCATAGTCTCCAACAAGAAAGCCGTGAAAGAAAAGAAAGTTGCGACTGAAAAAGACATAGTCTCCAAAAGAAAGCTGCCGACTGAAAGAAGACATAGTCTCAACAAAAAAGCTGTCGACTGAAAAGAAGACATAGTCTCCAACAAGAAAGCTGTCGACTGAAAGAAGACACAGTCTCCAACAAGAAAAAGCTGTCGACTGAAAGAAGACACAGTCTCCAACAAGAAAGCTGTCGACTGAAAGAAGACAGTCTCCAACAAGAAAGCTGTCGACTGAAAGACAGACATAAAGTGCCCAACAAGAAAGCTGCCGATTGAAAAAGGTGACATAGCTCCAACAAGAAAGCTGCCGATTGAAAGGTGACATAGCTCCAACAAGAAAGCTGCCGATTGAAAGGTGACATAGCTCCAACAAGAAAGCTGCCGACTGAAAGAAGAAATAGTCTCCAACAAGAAAGCTGTCGACTGAAAGAAGACACAGTCTCCAACAAGAAAGCTGTCGACTGAAAGAAGACATAGTCTCCAACAAGAAAGCTGTCGACTGAAAGAAGAAATAGTCTCCAACAAGAAAGCTGTCGACTGAAAGAAGACATAGTCTCCAACAAGAAAGCTGTCGACTGAAAGAAGACATAGTCTCCAACAAGAAAGCTGCCGACTGAAAGAAGAAATAGTCTCCAACAAGAAAGCTGTCGACTGAAAGAAGAAATAGTCTCCAACAAGAAAGCTGTCGACTGAAAGAAGACACAGTCTCCAACAAGAAAGCTGTCGACTGAAAGAAGACATAGTCTCCAACAAGAAAAGCTGTCGACTGAAAGAAGACATAGTCTCCAACAAGAAAGCTGCCGACTGAAAGGTGACATAGTCTCCAACAAGAAAGCTGTCGACTGAAAGAAGACATAGTCTCCAACAAGAAAGCTGTCGACTGAAAGAAGAAATAGTCTCCAACAAGAAAGCTGCCGACTGAAAGAAGAAATAGTCTCCAACAAGAAAGCTGTCGACTGAAAGAAGAAATAGTCTCCAACAAGAAAGCTGTCGACTGAAAGAAGACACAGTCTCCAACAAGAAAGCTGTCGACTGAAAGAAGACACAGTCTCCAACAAGAAAGCTGTCGACTGAAAGAAGACATAGTCTCCAACAAGAAAGCTGCCGACTGAAAGAAGAAATAGTCTCCAACAAGAAAGCTGCCGAGTGAAAGAAGACATAGTCTCCAACAAGAAAGCTGCCGACTGAAAGAAGAAATAGTCTCCAACAAGAAAGCTGTCGACTGAAAGAAGACACAGTCTCCAACAAGAAAGCTGCCGATTGAAAGGTGACATAGTCTCCAACAAGAAAGCTGTCGACTGAAAGAAGACATAGTCTCCAACAAGAAAGCTGCCGACTGAAAGAAGAAATAGTCTCCAACAAAAAAGCTGCCGACTGAAAGAAGACACAGTCTCCAACAAGAAAGCTGTCGACTGAAAGAAGACACAGTCTCCAACAAGAAAGCTGTCGACTGAAAGAAGACACAGTCTCCAACAAGAAAGCTGTCGACTGAAAGAAGACACAGTCTCCAACAAGAAAGCTGTCGACTGAAAGAAGACAGTCTCCAACAAGAAAGCTGTCGACTGAAAGAAGACATAGTCTCCAACAAGAAAGCTGCCGATTGAAAGGTGACATAGCTCCAACAAGAAAGCTGCCGATTGAAAGGTGACATAGCTCCAACAAGAAAGCTGCCGATTGAAAGGTGACATAGCTCCAACAAGAAAGCTGCCGACTGAAAGAAGAAATAGTCTCCAACAAGAAAGCTGTCGACTGAAAGAAGACACAGTTCCAACAAGAAAGCTGTCGACTGAAAGAAGACAAAGTCTCCAACAAGAAAGCTGTCGACTGAAAGAAGAAATAGTCTCCAACAAGAAAGCTGTCGACTGAAAGAAGACATAGTCTCCAACAAGAAAGCTGTCGACTGAAAGAAGACATAGTCTCCAACAAGAAAGCTGCCGACTGAAAGAAGAAATAGTCTCCAACAAGAAAGCTGTCGACTGAAAGAAGAAATAGTCTCCAACAAGAAAGCTGTCGACTGAAAGAAGACACAGTCTCCAACAAGAAAGCTGTCGACTGAAAGAAGACATAGTCTCCAACAAGAAAGCTGTCGACTGAAAGAAGACATAGTCTCCAACAAGAAAGCTGCCGATTGAAAGGTGACATAGTCTCCAACAAGAAAGCTGTCGACTGAAAGAAGACATAGTCTCCAACAAGAAAGCTGTCGACTGAAAGAAGAAATAGTCTCCAACAAGAAAGCTGCCGACTGAAAGAAGAAATAGTCTCCAACAAGAAAGCTGTCGACTGAAAGAAGAAATAGTCTCCAACAAGAAAGCTGTCGACTGAAAGAAGACACAGTCTCCAACAAGAAAGCTGTCGACTGAAAGAAGACACAGTCTCCAACAAGAAAGCTGTCGACTGAAAGAAGACATAGTCTCCAACAAGAAAGCTGCCGACTGAAAGAAGACATAGTCTCCAACAAGAAAGCTGTCGACTGAAAGAAGAAATAGTCTCCAACAAGAAAGCTGTCGACTGAAAGAAGACATAGTCTCCAACAAGAAAGCTGCCGATTGAAAGGTGACATAGCTCCAACAAGAAAGCTGCCGATTGAAAGGTGACATAGCTCCAACAAGAAAGCTGCCGATTGAAAGGTGACATAGCTCCAACAAAAGAGCTATCTATCAAAACAATAGAAAGGATTATAAAACACCTTCAAAAAGAAAATCCAACAGAGTATAAGAAAAGATGTTAATTCTTCCCATTCAGCATGTCTAAATTTGGGTGCAAATATAAATAAAATGGCAATGTTCAAAAAAGTAGACACATCTGAGTAAGCCAAAGAAGACAACGAAGTGTCATAATAGAAGACATCAAGCAATATGCCTGGAAAAAAAAAAATGCACAACAAAAATGAAAAACAAATGAGTGAAAACAGGAGACAAGTCTGTGAGAGAACTATAAGAAATTGGCAGAATTAAATAGGACAAAATACCAAGAATCAAAAAAAAAGCCAGATGAAAATGGCTTACAGTGAAGCAATCATTTTCTTTAAATGTTTGTTTTTCCAATGTCAAGGAACTTAGCTCTGCCATTTTGTCAATAGATGGGAGAGAAGAGATGGATTCATGCCTTTCTGAAATGAACACAACAGACTCGATTGGAATTGAACTCAACCTCTAGGTTCTGTTTTCCACACCACTAGTATTACATCAATCACAATTACATGACTACAACTAATAGTTTGCTTGGAAAGTTCACCATGTCTTTGCAGTTTGTCTACAAGAAATAAAGTGATTCATTTATTCTAATAATGTGAAAAGAAATTAATCATATTTTTCTTTTATATGCTTATCTCTTTTTCAGGATGTAGGCAATCATGAGTCTCAGTGACTTCCTGTCTTTTGTTGCCCTTAGTAATTTTTACCCTTTACCATCCTTCTTTGACCTGTTCTGCCATCCATTTACTCAAACTCATTAAGTAGGTGACTATGGATCTCTCTCCACTACATCGTGTCTTTTGTTACTCTTTGTAATTTTTCAAACTTTGTCCACTCTCTTTATCACTGTTCTACCATTCACAAACTCATCAAGTGTTACTCTGACTTCAGTATATCCGTGTGAATGTTATATTCATTAAACTCTCTTTCCTCATTAAACCAGCTATGAAATAAATAGTAGGGCTTCTATCTAGAAAAATAATTGTTATTCTCAGAAAATTGTTAATGCAATATTTACCCACTAAAAAAAAAAAATTTTTACAATCCAAAACATTTTGGTTTTAAATAATCCACAAAGGGTTGGTAAGCCATAAAAAATATCAATCATTCAATCATTTCCTCATTAAATTCCTAGAAATTCCATCTGTTTTTAGGATATAGGATATTTGTTGATTATTGTGTTATCTTGTTCCTATGAAACAATTTCTTGTTCATTTTTGTTCATATTAGCCAAATAATGGACACTTGAAGATGAACAGAGGTTACTTGGCTGAAATGTATCTAATGTTTTGTGTCTGTACTGACATGTATTTTCCACACATCTACAACAATCAAGTGAGAACAACTGTTTGAATAAATTAAAGTATATTTTAAATAGTGGTTTATCCAAATTGTAATTTACTGCCTTCCTGAACAAAAATAGGATTTTTTGTTATTTTTAATAACTAAATATCCCTTGTATTTTCATGACCATTCTTTTTAGCTTAGCTGACTGACATTCATCCAACTAAATAATTAAGCCATATGTCAGGACCTCCCCATGTGCGATCATAGAGGCTTCTGTTGCTATATATTATGTGACACAAGGTGTTACTCTCCATGTTCTTGCAGTCTCCATTAGCCTCAGAATAATTAAGTCTCATCGTCCATTATGAAGGATGTTTTAGCAGGACACCATCATAGATCAATGTCAAGAATCTGGTCTGCTAGATTCTGCCATTGACCTATCCAACATCTTATTGCCAACATCCAAATTTGAAATTTAAAAATTTACTTATGTTTTACCTACATTCTTAACAGCATGAAATGAAAGCAGTATTTATTGGTTACATTTTTTTAGCAACAAATCAACCTCTATGAGTTATAATACCAAAATCTAAATATTTTGTACTCAATCTTTTTTTTTTTTTTAGATAACAATGGTCTTAGTGCTACAAGTCTTACTAATTAATCCATAGCTAGTAGGAGAAGCGATGGATTCATACTTTTCCCAAGGGCATTTGCATAGAAGTGAATATAATGAACCCGAACTGGAATTTGATTCTTCGATTAACAATTCCAAGGCATTATCCATTACACCACCCACACATTCATGTTTACAGCCCCTGATATTCCCAAGCAGTCACCCATCTAGGTACCGAACAGGTTCGATGCTGCTTGACTTTGGTGATTGTACAGGGTAGTATTTCTACTTAACGTTTAAACTTTTCTATTTTGAAATGATCTGAAAAGGATAATGTAAATGGTGTCCATAGTAAAACAATTCTTGAGGTATAAATATGTATTTTTATTTTGCCCTTCATTTTTATTGCTAGTGATTAACACTGACAGGTTTTTCTTTCATTTTTAATCAAAGACAGAATCATGTTTAGAACAGAATCATACAAAGAAGTGTAATAAAACTTGAATATTTTAATATTTTTATTTCAATATGTCAGATGTTATAAACCATTAATAAATCAGTTGTTAATACAGTAAAGTTTGGCAATAAAATCTGTGTAGGGATGAATGTAAATAGTTGACCCTGAACAAATTTATCTCAAAAACTACAGAGTGAATTGGGATCAGATAAAGATCAAATATGGATTTGTATCTGACAGAATGATAAGAATAAATAAGAAAACATTATCATTTTTATTAAAGCTTTATCAGAGAATGAGATATGGAGAAAAAGAAACTCTGGTATTTTTGTTTTTTGTGTTGTTTGATTTTCATTGGTTAATCAGGTTTCTGTTGTAATCTAGGGAAAAGGTTACTGAATAAGAAGAACCAAAACAAAGTTTAGAAATAGAACGATGATATTTATAACAGAAACAACATACAAGATTCACCAACAGTGTGTAGTAAGTAATCAAGTGCTAGTGGTGAGCTAGAAGTGAATCAAGGGTAATCCCAAATGGAAGACAACATACAGTATATACCAATGCATTCATAGAAATTGGGGCATAGCCATTATAGCCCATAGGTATGGTATTACAGTTTCACATGCCTTTAACTTGTTAAATAAACATTAGTATAATTTGTGGTGTTCTGAATTCAAGGAGATAAAACAACATCTCTTCAAAGCGCCAAGAAATTGACATATTCCAAGCTCAAATGAAAAATCAAAATATTACTTTTTGCATGTAAGTGTATAATAATTCTAGTATGCCTTTGTGGGATTCAGGAACTATAGCATATAAAATCAGATTTTGTCATTTAGAGTTTATTTTCAAATCCATCAAAAAGCCTTGATATTGTTTAACATGCCTTGGGAAAAATGTGCCTCAACAAAAGATAAATGAGTTCAAATTTGCTTTAAGACAACTGAGAATTGCCAATATATCTGTTTCAGAAATGCTATAATAATAATAATAATAATAATAATGAGAAGAGACAATTGCTGGACTTCAGAGGTGGCTTTGGGAGAGAGATAGGCCTATAAAGAGAGAAACAGTGTCACTGATATTTACAGCACAAAAGCAGGCCATCAGAACAAATGCAATCAAAGCCAGGATAGATAAATCATAAGAAGAAAGTAAATGCAGGATGTGAGGACAAGCTGATGAGACAGTTAACCATATACTGAGTGAATGTCCCAAGTTGGCACAGAAAGTGTATAAGCAATGGCAGTGAAAAGATGATGGAATATGAAGGTGACAGTTGTACCCATCATCACTGAAGTACTGGAATAGATCTGAAGGCTCCTCTTAAAATTTGGAACAATTGAAAGTCTCAAAAAGAACTGAAACTATCCTGAAAACAGATCAGCAAGAATATTAATGAGAGTGCTAAAGTATTACAGGAATCTGATGCCAGTGGAAGTCATCAGCTTGTGAAAATTCAAAAAGTACATATAATAATAATGTGTAGAAATAAAGATGGGTTTAAATGTTGTGGGTAGCCACTGACATTCTGTGAGGCACAGATCAGCAACTGGTAGCTAAGATTTTAACTGTCAGGTTAACTCAATGATGCACCCAGCTTCTTTCATGGTCTGGTATGGCACTGAGTGCAAAGTCCATTTTGGTATCATCTGATGTGAGCCCAGTACATATTGGGGGTCATTGGAAATAAACTGTTCCCAGAAAACAAGTTCCTCATTGGCATTAATTTTGTTTCAGACCATCTGCTATTTCCCGGCATTAATCACATACTACACATATAAAAATCCTCTAGGACTTTGAATTTTAAAGGAATCACCCAATCCAGATAGAAAATTGGAGTAAACTGGAAAAAAAGAATTTGCCATATATTGGATTTTGCTGGTTCAGCATAATACAGTATAGACCTGAAAGTAAGCAACAAGAGATGTATCTACACTATTTACATTATTTGGACTGTTCTCCTCATTTTTATTGCCATATTCACAACGTTTCAGCCATTGTAAGTTCCAGCCTTCTTCAGGTAATTGGAATTTTGAACTGAACCCTTTATTTCATCCACCAAGGTATATTGTTCTAGTTCCACATGCCATGCCTCTTCCAGATGCCTCAGTTATTTCCCTTTAACTCAACTATCCAAGTTTTTGTTCACCAATGCAGTAGCCAGGTATTGAACTCACAACTTTATCCCCAATATTGAAGTCCTTGAAAAGGTGAACTTCACCAGTATTGAGGCCATGCTGCTGAAGTCTCAACTATGCTGGGCTGGACATGTTTCCAATCATTGTCTACATAAAATTTTACTGTACAGCAAGCTCTCAGATGGCTATCATGACAGAGGAGCACCAAAAAAGTGATTCAAAGATTGCCTGAAGAAATCCTTTTAGTGACTGTCATCTAGACCATTGCCAATGGTTCACCATAGATGAGAACCATGACATGTGGCTTCTCACCACCAACCATGCT